AATAAGTTTTTGTTCAAAACTAACCAAAATTAAAAATAATTTGTTTATAATTTCCGCACAGGAGAGACTTGGTGTTGTTTCAAAACAAAGGGAAATATATATCGGTATCGGCAGCGGCTATCGGCCAAAATGATTTGAAAAATATCGGCATATCGGATATCGGCAAAAATCTAATATCGCGCATCCTTAGTACATTACTATAATAAAGTGATTCATTAACAAACACTTAATTTGCACTTAATACATTTTTTTATAATAACTTTTTAATGATATAATTATGTTTCTGCTCCATTTTGTTGTTGAAATATAAACATTTAAACAGTGGATGTCATAATGTGTTTTCATTACAAGTTTATTCGCAGGGAACAAATTTAGGTTACAAAAACGTTGTGGGAACATTGTTTTCAAATGTTTATTAGAGCGTTATTTAAAGGTTACAAAAACATTTTTTAGACGTTCATCAAGTAAAAATAACATCATAGGGACGTTTAGAGAATGTTCATATCAGATGTTTTCTCTCCGTTATGAGAACATTTATCAAATATTAATAAAGTTATAAGAACATTCCATAAACATTACTTTAATAATGACATTTATATAACTTTTAAAAAACATTAGTGAAAGATGCGAGAAGATTCCCTGTTAGCTGAGTTCAAACAAACATTAAATACTGAAGAACAGGTTCAGCAAAAATATAATGAACATGTAATATAGTGCATATATTTATCAAAATGCTATTTCTTTCTAGCTGAATTCCCAGTTTGTATTCACTGAATGTATTTTCTGAGGTAAATGTGATGTTGATGTTGATCTCAAGCTGTTTTACTGGTGTCTTTCTGCAGTTGGATCACTGATTGAACGATTGATTCATGATTGATTTCAGTTCTGATGTTCATTGATGTTTATTTGCTGCTGTAACTTGTAGTAAAGAGGAAGAGATGATCTGTCACGAGGCATTAAAGAGCCAAAAAAAACACATTTAGTGAGTGATTTTAGTGATTAAACTAACAGAATTTTAAAGCTGAGACTTTGTTTCATATCAAAAGTAACAAAGATTCCTGTGATTATTAGATGGCAGGAGCTACAGATACTGTTTGATTGAGTTTTGTTCACGCATCAACTGAAAACAGCAGAGATTGACATCGGTTCATCAGAATAAGAATCAATATTTTCAACCCAACCCTACAATCTAAGACATTTTTTTGTCTTAGATTTTTACAGCCCCCCGACTGAGCCTGGTTTCTCCCAAGGTTTTTTCTCCATTCTGTCACCGATGGAGTTTTGGTTCCTTGCCGCTGTCGCCTCTGGCTTGCTTAGTTGGGGACTCTTCATTTCCAGCGATACCGTTGACTTGATTGCAAAGATACTATTTAAACTGAGCTGGATGTTGACATCACTGAATTCAATGATGAACTGTCTTTAACTGAAAAATTTGTGTTTACTATTGTCATTTTGCATTATTGACACTATTTTCCTAATTAATGCTGTTCAGTTGCTTTGACACAATCTGTATTGTTAAAAGCGCTATATAAATAAAGGTGACTTGACTTGACTTGACATTTTTGTAAACAAAACCACAAACGCTCTAAGCAAAGCTCTAGGAAGGCAGAATTTCAATAGAAGCCTATGTGATTTGATCGGTTACATTCAGCAACACGAGTCAGAACAAAATGAGGGGTTTTTACAGTAAGCTTGAGTTGCATTTTATAAATGACGGTCTCTGGTTGTGGTTTCTGAAAACCCTTAATGCATGTTTACAAGAACAGCATTTCACATCATTTCAGGATCTGCTGCTTCATGCAATAACAACTGTCTGTCTGCTATTTGCTCTAAACAAACAAAAAAAACTTGAGGCCTTTATACACAGTGAAAAATTATTATTCAAAGTTGTAAATAAAACAAAGATCATTAAGTACATTTTACATGAAAACATGATTTCAGTCTTTCTACAGTAAAATCCAATATCACTGCACTACGAACATTAGGGGAGATTCCTAAAATGAAAACCAATTTCTGAAAACTTAAAGACACATTAAAGCTAAATAGAAATATTAAAAATAAAACAATAAAAGCACATAAAATGACAAAAACTTCAGTAATAAAGATAAAATGTTTTTATTAGAAATAAACTTCAATTTTTTAAATTCAAAAATAAATAAATAAAAACAGATTAGAATTAACTTTAATTTTAAAATTAGAAATAAAAACGTTGCCTTGGCAACAGAAATAAATGAAACACTAAAATTACTCAAACTAGAATTTAAATAAAAATTAATTAAAGCTAAATAGAAATATTATTATATAAAACAATAACAAAACCACATAACACAAATACAAAACACAAATTTATTAGAAATAAATTTTACAATTCAAAATTTCTGCTTTTTTCAAATTGTCAAGATTTTTTCAAAGCTGTAAAAAAAGATTGTAAAATAATAATTTACAAAAACATACTATTTCAGCCTTTCAACTTCAAAATTTCATGTTTGATTCAATGTGTAACTTGCCTTTTTCTATGTAATTATTTGTGAAAATGTACACAATTTTACTAGCAATTTCTAAGTGAAAATATTTTATACACCAATATTTTTTAGTCTATAGCCTATAACGCATTAATTATGTCCTGTAATGCACCTTATAATGCATAGTGTGATCTCATGAATAATCACAAAGCATAGACATAACACATTCTAATATTTATCTATTCATTGTTACACATTTAATCCATTAAAACACAAGAAAAACAACTAATTTCAGATGCAACCAGGAATATGCAAATATTATAACGCATTTGAACTTTGGTTACAATTATTTACATGAGGAGATTGAGTGAGAAACCGGTTTTGATCATGATGATCATTTAGACAGCTTAGAAATGTGCATATCAAATATAATACTGTAGCTTTTTTGGGGGTTAATTTTTCATGCAGATGTTATGAGAAATTCTTAATTTTGCATCTAATAGAGGCATTTGTGTCAGCTTTATTTCCAAGCATGACTTCTGAAAGCCTTTCATATCCTATCAGAGCAGATATCAGACTTCAGCATGTCTGTATCCACAGCTTTTATTCTCTTACTGCAAACTAGTGGACGATCAATACGGGTTTATAATGGCCAGCGCGGCTCCCGATGACCAGAAAATATGTGACCACAAATACACTTCGCACACCTCGTTATATGGATCATGACGCTTGTGGAATCTGAACCTGCCATTCAGAATGATCTACACATCCATCGCTTCATGCACAGTTGTTGTTAATGACATATTTCTGATAATTTAGCAGTGCTTTCAGCTGGCAATAAGTGCTTGTGCTCTCAGCTCAGTGGAACATATGTTTAAATTAATTCAGCAAATGTTCCTCCTCAATCAGCAGATTGCATCTGTGACAAACACACGCTGTTCTGAAAGTATGAATGTGAAGCGTCAGGCTCGGTGTTATCAGACAACATGACCCGAGCCAAGCATCAGTCCTGTCTAATGCAGCGTCAGCGCTCTGTGATCGCACATCACTTCACACTTCAGTGAGTCCTGAGGGGCGTCTGCATGTTTGACCGCTTCAAACACAACAATAGAGCAGCACAACAATAGCAGAGCGACTCTAAGAAACATCTAGCCATAGAAAAACATCCTGCCACTATAGCAACAGCCAATCGCAGGTGTTAGATATCATCATTGCTATTCCATACAATATATGCCAGGAGAGAGTTTGAACATTATTAAATCACGACATAAAAATGCAATATAGCATATTCCATTTTACTTAAACACTACTGAAGGAGAACATATGCACACTTGATTATGCGTTTCCTTCACTATTCACAACAACTCATCCATTAAAGGGATAGTTCACCCAAAAATGACAATATGCTGAATGGGTGCCGTCAGAATGAGAGTCCAAACAGCTGATAAAAACATCACAAAAACCCACAAGTGATCCACACAACTCCAGTCCATCCATCCATTGCTGAGACACTGATGCAATGCTACATTTCTCCAAACCTGATGAAGAAACAAACTCATCCTGATCTCTGATGAACTGAGAGTCAATCAGCAAATCTGCATTTTAAGGTGAACTATTGCCGTTTTAAAAATATGTTTAGCTTCATATACAATCTGGTAGCACTGAAGCAAAGCCTTTAAGATTTTAGATTTCCTTCACACTGGTACTGCATGTCCTCAGACCAAAACACTTGAAAGATGCATATAGAGAAAACAACAGCAATACATCTCCGCCACACAAACAGCTCATATTTCTCCGTTATGCTCATGTTTACACTGAAACGCCGCTCACCGCTTCATGCAATGTCTTGAGCATCTCTGTCTGATCTCAGATGTGAGAAATAAACTGCAGTGACGTCACCAAACTCAACCCAAACACTGAGAGCACCAGTGCAGCTCAAAAAGCTCAAGACCTTCTCTCACAAACCGTGCGTTTCTTAAGGAGCAAACCAAGCTCAAGACGCTTTAAAATGTGACCCTGGAGCACAAAAGCAGTCTTAAGTCGCAATAGCCAACAATACATTGTATGGGTCAAAATTATACATTTTTATTTTATGCCAAAAATCATTAGGATATTAAGATCATGTTCCATGAAGATAGTTTGTAAATGGCCTACCGTAAATATATCAAAATTTAATTTTTGATTAGTACTATGCATTGCTAAGAACTTCATTTGAACAACTTTAAAGATGATTTTCTCAATATTTAGATTTTTTTGCTCCCTCAGATTCCAGATTTTCAAATAGTTGTATCTCAGCCAAATATTGTCCTATCCTAACAAACCATACATCAATGAAAAGCTTATTTATTCAGCTTTCAGATGATGTATAAATCTCAATTTTGAAAAATTGACCCTTATGACTGGTTTTGTGCTCCAGGGTCACATATGTAAACTCGGTCTCCGTTATTCTGCAACGCTGTCACTCAGTCTGTCGAAGATCTGAAGCTTCTGGAAGCGATGCCAAACGCAATCGAGCAAAAGCAGAAGAAGCGCACAAACCTTGACCGGGGAGCTCCGCGTGGCGACGGGCAAATCCCGCACCGCTGTCCCCGCAGGCGAAGCCGATCCGCCGGCCGCGCATCCCGCCAGCGCCGCTCTCCCTCCTCCGTTCCGCGGACGCTGTTTAATCCCGTCCAGAAGACGCACCAGGAGGATGTTAGCAGGCAGATCGTCGACTACGCAGTCCACCAAGACGCGGCACTCCGGGCAGCGCAGCTCGTGTCTGGAGCTCACAATGTTCTCCAGGCAGCGGCGGCAGAAGGTGTGCTGACAGGGCAGCACTTTGGCGCTGGTGTCCAGCCGCTCCAGACACACAGAACACTCCAGCAGATCCAGCAAAGACGACTCGTCCATGTTGTCCTCTGGTACGCAACGCTGTCGTCGACGCGCAGGCGACGCGAGTCAACTTGGCACGCATATGGTCATAGTAATGTACGGAGAACGGCTTGAGACATGAGCGCGACGGAGCGCGTCTGCTCTGCTGCTCTCTCTCTCTCTGTGTGACACACACACACACACACACACACACACACACACACACACACACACACACACACACACACACA